GGCTTTCCATTTTATTGGCCCCTTGGAAGAATTGTGTAGGTGCATCAAATAAACATAGACTTTACTATCAAAGAAGATACTATATTTTTTAATGGTTGTATTTGTGATGTTTAGTTTTATGATTTTTTAATAAACATTAGCGGGGGAGGGTGCCTGGGTGGCTCAGTCAGTAAAGCATCCGACTTGATTTTGGCTCAGCTCATGCTCTCAGGGTCGTCAGGCTTTGCATCGAGCATGGAGTCCACTTGGGGTTCTCTCTCTCCCTCTGCCCCACCCCCCACTCGTGCATGTTCTCTCTCTAAAAACAATGTAAAAATAATAAAAAATGAAAAACGTATTGGGTCAAAAAAAGTCCATGGAAATATTCTAAAATAATACCTAGAGGAAAATAATTCAACATTTTTTTTCAGGAATATAGATGTTTTGAATGAGATCTATACGTGGTACTGTCTTGAACTTTAGATAATATAATTTTGGGGAATCCCTGGGTGGCTCAGCGGTTTAGCGCCTGCTTTCAGCCCAGGGCGTGATCCTGGAGACCTGGGATCGAGTCCCATGTCAGGCTCCCTGCGTGGAGCCTGCTTCTCCCTCTGCCTGTGTCTCTGCCTTTCTCTGTCTCTCTGTGTGTCTTTCATGAATAAGTAAATAAAATCTTAAAAAAAAGATAATATAATTTTGGTTTATGTTGTGATAGCAATAATTTTAAGTACAAGGTAGTTAGAGTAGTGTGGGTAGTCACACTCATGAAATGCTTGCCTTAATATCAACAAGGCCTTTTTATTTACCTCATAAAATGTGTATTTTTTGCAACTCTACTACTGTCAGTCTGAGTTTATAATGAATATTGATGTTTGGGACAGATATCATGTCAAAAAATTTTAAGCATATTTAAAAACAAAATGCATTTGCTTGACTTTGTTCTGTGTAGTTCATTTTTAACACCTTGTATTATACATGTATTTAAACTTAAAAATTAGAAGAGGAGTTGGCAAATTATCTAAAAGACCACACAGTAAATGTTTTAGGCTATGTGGGCCAACAGGTAAATTTGAAAATATATGTAGGTATTTACATAAAATGTAAGAACCATTCTTCGCTTGCAGGCCTTTAAAAAAAACAAAGGCAGGCCAGATTTGGTTGATGGACTGTCATTTGGAAGACCCCTCGTGTAGAAGACAATTCTTAAACATCAGATCTCTCTCTTTACTATAAAACTTCTCAATTTATCTTACTATTTAACAAAAATAGTAATTTAAATCAATTTTATATTAGCGGGGCTAATGATTATGCAAATTAACTAATGATAGCTATAACTTCTTGATTTTCTTATTTCAAATATATTAAAAATAAACGATCATTCTAGCCAATAATTTCTATTTCTTACCTGGATTGCAATTTGACACCATGCTGGCATGGGTTCATCACACTTCCTCGACCTAAGTGAGCTACAAAGTGGTAACCATTCCAGAAGAACATATGGAAGAGAGAAAAAATTTTGTAGCATTTGTATAATCAAGCAGAAACTGAAATACTCAACTACAGAGACGTAAATGCCATCAAATCCGGAGACCACGGACGCCTAGCAGATCCTCTGAGCAGCGGCTGACTATGTGGTTTTCATTCAGCACTTCGAGGATTCCACAGGAAACTGGCAGTGTCCAGTGACAAATTCTGATGGTGCCAACCTCAGCGCGGGGTGTGAAGCTCCCAGCTGCTGGAGCCAGCTCTTCAGCCACCTGTCACCACCACCTGTCAACAACTGACCCACTCACGGCTACTGTACACGAAGTCTGACTTCATTCCTTCACATATCGAATGAAAAGTTAACGCAAGCACAGAAGGAATCATAAGTGCTATGAAGAAACAACTAAAGTAGAATTTTGATCACAAGAACACAGCAGGAAATAATGGGCAACAAACAAATCTATGATGGCACGTGAAACTGGAGCATGGTGTTAGATGTTCCTGAGACCGCTATGTGCCACCCCGGGACTCACCGCTGTAACCCAGAAGTCCTCTGGGTGGGACGCAGGCAATGCACCATTCGTTTGGGGCACACACCTGTACATTTGCAGCACAGGTATTTTTGAAAAAGGGGAATGAGCTGCATTTAGAAAGCAATAACGTGCATATTATAGTGTGGTTTTAAGAGTTACTAGAATGTATGCCATATCCAGATTTCTCTACCAAGGCTTATTGTCAAGGATAGGTGATTTTTAGAATTTCCCTGTTCACCTTATTTAAAGGAGATTTAACAGTTGAAAGACTTGTTACTTTTTACTACTCTAAACATAAAATACCATTCTGAAGTGGTGGAATTGATTAACTAGTAACTTTTCCATTGTTCATTCTAACATTGTCTACATATGAACTAGTGATCTGTTCCTAATATCGTCATCAATAAATTTACAGAGAGTCATGGTAATTCACTGTTTAAAAATATTTTCATACATTCAAGTCTCAACATGTTCAGTGTCTTCTGAACATCTTCACAGGTGTTTCTTTCACGCGAAGAACTCTGAAACAATCTCAAAAAGAACAGGGTAAATTGGGATTAGAAGCATGCGAGACTAATAATTTTAACAATAAAATTAGAATTTTGCATTTCTGGACTTGAACTTGCTATTAAGGAACTATGGATATGTAGCTAAAAACTTGATTTTCACCTCCAAAAAATTTAGACTTGTAGTTACCATGTATTTCCACAAGATGGACTTCTTGATGTTAGGATTTTTTTTTGTTTGTTTGTTTGTTTTTTGGGTTTGTTTTTTAAGCCATTTCAATTGTCTAAAAATTACTCCTATGATTTCAAAGTCCTTTTATGTGTTTTAAAATGTTTTTTTACAAAGACTTACGATATACTATTCCCATCATACCAGGTTAAAACCTGATAGTTCTAGAAGTAATTTCCTCTCACAAAATAATCAATTATGGTTTTTAACTCTTTTACACTCCTTAAAAATAGAATTTCTTTAATGTCTTAATATTCACTGTTACTTTAATAGGTAACCACATTTTATCTTGTGAAAATTAGAACAAATGATTTCTGAAGTCCATGCATAAAACCCTAATGACTCCAAGTAATAAAAAAAACTGTGATAATTCAGACATCGTATGTGATTGTTATTGAACAGGGAGGTGGAAATGTTTTTTTCCTAAGTCTTCGGGCTCTTAAGTATATACACTTTCTCTTCGAATTTATAGAACATATGAGAATTTATATACATATGCCATGTGTATCACCCATACCATGAGATTTATAAACTGCTTTTTAATTTTGTTCCTCCAACTAGGATGAGACACATTCGAGTCACCCATCAGAGCCTTCCTCAGTGCAGGATCATGTGTACCTACTAGGGACAGAGTGAACACACCTGATTCACGGTTTCAGCTGCTCTCTTGGCCTCTGTTGTACCAGATAAGGACGTGAAATATGGAAATACAACTTAGAGGAATCATTTATGATTAATAAAAATACAATATAGAAGTTAGATACCGTTGCCAAAATGTTTGGCTGTAATGAAAATATCTTTTATGGTATCTGAGAACCTTTAAGCCTAAAACAAACCAAAACCTCCACTGGGTCTCCTGTACCTTATTCTCATTTTGAATTTTATGTATTCATTAGTTATGGAACTTTACTTGGGAAAAAAAAAAAAAAAAACCAAACACGTGTCCCGTATGCCAAGTTACCTCTACCCAGAGGCCCTTCTTCCGAGCGGTACTGGTCCTTTCTGCGTTGGGGGCCAGCATGGTTTCCAACAGAAGCACTTTTTTCCTTGCTTTGTTTCATTGTAAGTACATGGATATTTCCATGTGAAGGAGATTGAAATCTTAGTATTTTAAACTGAATAACACAAAATAGGGAGCTGCTAGAACGTAGTTTGGAGTAGGAAAAAGTTTTTTTAGGTTGGCCACAAATAACGGGTTAGAACAGAGTCCAGGTATATATTAAATATACACTATGTCTACATACACACAAATGCTCTTATTAAAGAACCGGCTTCTAGCTAGAAAAGCATCTCATTTCACAGACAAAGCGAGGCTCAGGAGACAGAGCTGGAACTCTTCAACCATAACAGGGTTTTCTTCTGAAGAGTTTAATTCAACTCACTGACACCACGTTTGCCAGCATCTGGGACTGGTCACAAGGCCCTCGGGACAAAGTGCCGCCACAAAGGTTTGAGCAGTTTCCACAGCACCTGAGTCCCTTCAGTCTTAAAAAAGGTGAGCAGGAAAGGTCGTGGAAGCAGTGAGGCAGGGTGTGCAGTAAGGAGGAGAGAAGGACACGCGCCTGCTCCAGGGGCTGCTGGCCGCCACACCAGCGGCTACCTTACGGGAGGTGTAGGATGTGCGGGTCACGCTCACCTCCTTTAGAAGTTACAGCGATCCCTGGGGAGCGAGACCATCTTCCTAGAGAGAAAATAAGTATCCTGGTGAGCAGCGCAGAGCTGGGGGGGAAGCAACAGGGTCTGCGAGCGCCGAAAGTCGTGCTCCAAGCCACTGGGCTGCCTGCCTCACCATCCCCGGAGGGCGGGCGGGCTCATTGCTGCGGGGACACTTACTTATTCAAGGGCCAAATAAAAATACCTTTCGGGGAACATTAATTTTGTATTCATTTCCCCCCTTTGTACCAACATTACGTTTTCCCTTTGTGCGAGGGCAAATTTCCTCTGAATCTTCGTCTCTCATAACAGAGTTTTCCATAATGTTTGCAAATGGGAACCTAAAAATACTCAAAGACGGCCTAATTTTCATCGAGGTAGAACTTTCCACCAAGTTACTTATTTTTGGGTTCACCACCCAATGCTACATAAACTCAAACGACATCCAGTAACAGCATTTACAAAATAAAACACGCAAAGTTGGAATTCTCTTTTATGTGTCCGGATTTGATGGCTCAAAAGTAATAAAACTGGACTCATCGCACAGCTCTCCGTTCTAACAAATCTTATCCCAACTCCAAGAAAACGCAAAGCCCAGGTTCATTTCCTGCAATAAGTAGTCATTTAATTAAAGAACAAAATTAACAGGAATCAAAATGTTGCAGCTGTATTTTTTTTGTTAGACATTATATAAAAAAAAGGAAAGTATAATACAGTAAATAATCTTGTATAACATGAACTTAAAGAGTTCTCAAATGAACGGTGATCAGAATAAAAATGTCTTTTCAACATAATACTGAATGCCACTGCGCCACGTGTCGCACGTCAGAGGCCCGGAGGTGTGCCTGCGCATGCGTGTCGCCCGTCCTCCGTGTCGCTGCGCCACTGTAAGACTAGCTTCAAAGGCAAATGACAGTTTTCTGGGAGAGCGACTCTGGGTCCCCGCGGGGTCCCCACAGTTCCCACTCCTCAGACACCAGGGAGTGCGGGGCGTCCTCTGGTTTGTCCTCGTACAGGTGAGACAGCCCAGACGTCACCTGCCCGAGGGGTCCCGCTCCTCTCGCTCACACGGCAGGGAGTCTTCAGCTGAACATCAGAAAGTTCCCTGATGAGTGTTCAGTGTTGGTATCAAAAATTAAACACAAATTCTTCTCAGAAGAAAATCTCTATGGCCTGTGGAATCTGGGAATTACATAAAAAAAAAAAAAGACAATAGTTCAAAGGTCATACCTTCCCAGCTAAAAATTGCCCAAACCTTCCTCGAATAAACTTGCTGCCACTAGATGCCGCTCAGCCAGGCGACACGGAGGACACCAGGTGGACCCATTCGCTGCTAGTAGTGGGCCTCCAAGGGCTCCAGGGTCCCCGCGCTGGACCCCAAAAGAATTCCGATTTGCTGAATTCTGCCTGAAACTCGGTTTGAAAGCTGCTGGGGGAGCCCGGGGAAGGGCACAGAAAGGCCAAGGCCTCATCAGCGGAAGTGATGAATCCATTGATAAACTTCTGGAAATGAGAGTTATGGTTTTGCTCCTGTGAGGTGGTGACATTTAGGACACTTAAGAAAGTCTCATGGGACTAAAAAAAAAAAAAAAGTTCTTTTAAAAACTGATACTAAATGTGGCATAAAAATCTTGTAATTATTTCCTCATGTCCAAGTTTTGGGCTAACTCTTAAAATCCTATCATCTAAGCAAGATACTCACTGGGGACTTAAGAGAGATGATGTGTATCCTTAGCAGACACCTCTTAATAACGCATGACGGGAAAGCGTATTAAATGTTTTGACACACACATAACGCTAGGTAACAATTATTGTCCTTTTTAACACGGTGAACATTAAAAATAGCTCTGAATGTCTGAGTGAGCAAAGTTTATTCCTAAGCATTTCGGAGCATTTTGGGTAATAAGCAAAAATAAGATGATCTATTCCTGCCCAAATGTTTGCCAGTCATGGGGGGAAACCTTAGCAATTTTTAAACTATCTATTTGCATCGTTTCCTTCTGCTCTTGCAGCCTCCTCTTCCCCCTTAACGCACACCCCAGAACTGTCCTGGAGGATGGAACCCCCGACACCTGGTTCCGCTCCACAGCCACGCGGGACCTCCCAGGGTGAGCGCGGAGGCCTCTTCGGGACGAACCAGAAAAAGCAAGGGACGCACTATTTTGGTTTCGGGCAGTATCTAAATCCAGGATTTCCATTCTCTGTGTATCTGGGGCTCGAGCCTCGGGAGGCCCAGGGAGGAGTGATGGAGGGACTGGTCCGGGCACAGGCTGCTGCATCACAAGCACAGCCCTCAGGATGCAGGGATGCAGGGATGCAGGGAAGGGAGGACGTATTACTGCGGCCGTGGCACGACCGTGCAGCCCGTGAGCAAGGACGAGTCCGTGTCCCCCCACGCCGGCGCCCACGGGAGCCCCCCGGCACGTCTACGGCAGCTGGCCCGGACACGGCATCCGGCCCGCCGTGGAAGGTGGCCGATGCGTGTCTCCCATGGGGACGGAGGCTCCCCGACGCGGGGCCGCCTCTGCCTTAGGTGTGGCTACAGTCTCGGCCCCCAAATGGCCCGGCCACGCCGATCGCACCCCAATACCTGAGTTCGGGGGAAGCATCAGCTGGTGTTAAAGATGTGAATGGAAGTGTTAAGACAGGAACGAGTAAATGGGAGTGGCCCCCTGGCCCCCTGGCCGCACGCATGGGCGGGTTCTGTTACGCGGGGGTCTGCGCCTCACAGGAGGCGCGGCCAACGGACACCACGTCACCTTCGCTGCTCTGACACTCACCCTCCTAAACGCACACCAACTAGTCAAACCAGCGCCCCAAGTGATGCCGCCCTGCGCCGCGCCCGCCGCGCCCGCCCCGCCGGGAAGAAGCGGAGCCTGCGGAGCAGGTGCATCCGGGCGTCCGGGCGTCCGGGCGGCTCTCGCAGAGATGCTGACCTCGCTTACCTACGTACACAGACCTTGGTCCTTCTTTTCTTTCTAAAGCACCACCGCGTTATAAGGACCGCGACATTCACGCACACGGAAATCCCACCTTGTCAAATGCTTGCTTGATGCGTGTACCTCCATTTCGTTACTTTTGTATTCGTTTAGTTCCTTACGAATCGCTGCCTGAAATCGAAAAACAGGACATTGTCTCTCAGGACCCTGGGAAGTGAACGCGGGAAATGGGCACCTGGCCGGGGATTAGCACACACTTCCTAACATCGCTGCGCCCTGTACGACGGGATCAGAAAAAGAAACGACTGTAGGTCCAGCACTTGGCGTCTCACCATCATCGTGGTTCTCCCCAGCCCCTGCACGATTGTCAAGGTCCTCCCCATCCCGTGCATGATCGTCACAGTCCTCCCCAGCCCCTGCACGATCAAGGTCCTCCCCAGCCCCTGCATGATCAAGGTCCTCTCCAGCCCCTGCACGATCGTCAAGATCTTCCCCATCCTGTGTATGATCGTCAAGGTCCTCCCCAGCCCCTGCACGATCGTCACGGTCCTCCCCAGCCCCTGCACGATCTTCACGGTCCTCCCCAGCCCCTGCACGATTGTCAAGGTCCTCCCCATCCCGTGCATGATCGTCACGGTCCTCCCCAGCCCCTGCACGATCAAGGTCCTCTCCAGCCCCTGCACGATCGTCAAGATCTTCCCCATCCTGTGTATGATCGTCAAGGTCCTCCCCAGCCCCTGCACGATCGTCACGGTCCTCCCCAGCCCCTGCACGATCGTCACGGTCCTCCCCAGCCCCTGCACGATCTTCACGGTCCTCCCCAGCCCCTGCATGATCTTCACGGTCCTCCCCAGCCCCTGCACGATTGTCAAGGTCCTCCCCATCCCGTGCATGATCGTCACGGTCCTCCCCAGCCCCTGCACGATCAAGGTCCTCTCCAGCCCCTGCACGATCGTCAAGATCTTCCCCATCCTGTGTATGATCGTCAAGGTCCTCCCCAGCCCCTGCACGATCGTCATGGTCCTCCCCAGCCCCTGCATGATCTTCACGGTCCTCCCCAGCCCCTGCATGATCGTCATGGTTCTCCCCAGCCCCTGCACGATCATCAAGGTCCTCCCCAGCCCCTGCACGATCGTCAAGGTCCTCCCAGCCCGTGCATAATCTTCACAGTCCTCCCCAGCCCATGCGTGGTTGTCACGGTCCTCCCCAGCCCCTACACTGAGCACATCTTGAGGACCTGATGAAGGAGGATCACCAAAGTACTGGGGAAGCCTGGCTCTGGGGGATCTCACTGGGAATTCCGCAGTTAGGTCATTTGGAAGCTCTTCCAACGCTGGGTCATGTGGGCAATGGTGTCGCGGTCACACACAGGTGAGGCACGCATCACAGCGCCGTGGGGCCCATCCCCTCCAGCCCCTCGGGTGAGCCCCCCAGGGGCCAGCTGAGGGCCGGGAGGCAGGAGCCTCGGGAGCAATCCTGCTTCGCTCAAACCCTCCTGCTGCCAGCGACGCCCGTGGCCCCTCGTGGCTGCGCCGGCGCCGCTCCAAACACCTCCACCAAGGGACGCCCCGAGGCAGCCACCGCGGGCAGCCGCACCCCAGCAGGAGGCAGCCCTTGGCCGTGAGCGAAGGCACGAGGCCCGCGTTCCCCCCCCCCCCGGGGCTGCAGCGGCGCCCTCTGAGCCCTTCCAACAGCACGTCCCCGGTGGCAAGGACGACACGTGCCCCCCAGGCACTCGCCGGGGCTTCCGTGAAGCGGCGCTGGCGGGCAGGCCCAGGGCCTCCGTCCCGGCGGAGCGAGGCGGGGACCGCGGCCGCTCAGGTGCTCTGGGGCCCGCGGAGACACTGCACACCAGACCGGCGGGATGGATCCAGAGCCACCTCTGTCTACACTGCCCGATGCCTCGGCTCCACGCCCCTGTGTCACTGGTTGACTCCGCTTAAACTTCTGTCCTTGCCTTTGCTTCACCCTCCAGACCAGCATCTCAGCTCCCACGCTGCTGACATTCGGGGCTGGGTCACCCTTGGCTGGGCCCGTCCGTGCACCACGGCAGGACGGGTGGCTTCCCTGGGCTCTCCCCACCCCTGCCAGTGCCACCCGCTTCCTTGTGACAACCAAAAATATCTCCAGATCAACAATGTCCCCAAGGGCAGTGTCCCCGAGCTGAAAACACTGCCACGACCTGATTACCCCGTGAGGCCATCGGGGTCGGCCCGACAATGGCCCAGGCGCCGTTTCTGCCGCGGGTGGGACCCACCATCTGGGAACGATCCCGCTGGTCCACCACGGTTTGCCCTCCTTCCCTGGTGCCACCCCCCGACCGGCACAGACGGGTGCGCTCCGTACCTTGTCTGCCGCGGACAGTCGCGTCCAGGGTTTGTCCGCCCGTCTGTCATAATCCTGAGCTTTGGCCACTTCCACGTAATCGCTGAATCGGATCAGAATCTTCCTGTCTCGCAGCTCATCAACCGTGGGTCTCTGGTTAAGCTGAAATCAAAGATCACCACGGTCACCGCCACCTGCCAAAGCGCCCTGCTTCCAGGCCTCCGAACAAACGGCACGTGTCCATAGGGACACTGCAAACTCGGGCACTCTGACATACAACCCGAGGCCAACACCCTCCAGTGGGAAGGCCTGACGACAGCCCCCGACACGCTTCATCAGGGGCTCACACCCCGTGGCCCGGCGGCAGGCAGGACACAGCCCAGGCCCGGGGAGCGCAGGCTGCCCCCGGCGGAGGCCACTTGCTCCAACTTGCATTGGTCGAGCCTTAAAGTCCTGAGAGCGGACACTGCCACGACCAGCACTGAAAGCCCAGCTCAGGGAGGACAGTGTTCACCTCCCGCCCCTGGCGTCACCCCTGCCAGCACGGGACGACGGGGACATGCCAGGAGGTATCGAGATTCGATCCGGGCCCTGGAGGTAGATGGGTTTGCGGAGCTGCTGCCCAGGCTGGCCCTTGACCTTCACCGAGAGGCCCGTGTACACGCCCTAGAGCCTAATAAAGCTTCTGCAATCGAGAGCTTCCAGAAAAGCTACGGGAACCACGGAGCCCACAGGTAAGCGAACACTGACATCCAGGGATGCTCTTAGCACGGCGTAAAGACCTCAGGCAGCGAAGATGCCCAGGCACCGCCTGGCTCCCTGGAAATACGTGGAAACATCCTTGGGCTCGTCCTGCTACACGAGTGGCTCTTGGGCTGGGCAAGGGCCTCATCACAGGCACAGAGGGCCTCACCGCGGGCACCAAGGGTCACACTAAGGGTCAGACCACGGACACAGAGGGCCACACTGCGGGCCTCACCATGGGTGGCAGGGGCACCCTTCCCATGTCTGGGGAGTGTTGAATTCGCTGCTGCGCAGGAAGACGTCACTCTGCGACCCAGTGACGCCCCCCGCCACCTGCCCCACCGCTACCAGCGCACCTGTCACCCGTGTCTCAGGATCCAGGGGGTGAGAGGATTAAATCATAGTACCTTTCTTGTCAACCTTTGCTTGATTTCTCTTCTTTCTTCCTGCTCTGTCTGGTCATTCCTTTCTGTGAAAGGTTAAAACAGAAAGAAAAGAAAAAAGAAAAGAAAGAAAAACGGGTTGAGACTCTCCTCCTCTTGGCAGGTTAGAGAGCTCACCCTGCATTTCTGGTGGCTGAGGAGGGACACCAGGGTCACCTCCCATCACGGCCGGCTCTCCTCCACGTGGCCAGCACCACTCAGACCGTGGTCTCCCCGCCCCGAGGGAAGCTCTGCCCACCTTGCAGCCTTTCTCCGCGTCACGACCCACTGCATACACGCGGCTGTGCACTGACCTACCAGAGAAACAGAGGCAGCTCTCCTTCCTCTCTCCCCATCAAACATCTACCCTCGGGCAGCCCGGGTGGCTCAGGGGTTTAGCACCGCCTTTAGCCCAGGGCGTGATCCTGGGGTCCTGGGATCGAGTCCCACGTCAGGCTCCCTGCATGGAGCCTGCTTCTCCCTCTGCCTCTCTCTCTCTCTCTCTCTCTCAAGAATAAATAAAATCTTAGAAAAAAAAAAACAATCTCTGTGTTTGCAGATTTACGTCCAGGAATATACGTGATGCACACAAATACTTTACTAGGATCAGTACATGTACGTACACGTGACCACCGATACCCCTATCACATAGGAATATTACACGTGAACGCTAACGGGACTGTCGCTGCCCTTTTCCCCCTTCTACTTAATAGGGACGCAGACTTTCAGCCAACAGCACACGATAAGGAACACCCTCTCCTGGGGCGCCCGGGTGGCTTGGTGGCTGAGCATCTGCCTTGGGCTCAGGGCGTGATCCCAGGATCCGGGATCGAGTCCCACGTCGGGCTCCCCGCATGGAGCCTGCTCCTCCCTCTGCCTGTGTCTCTGCCTCTCTCTCTGTGTCTCTCATGAATAAATTTTTTTTTTTTTAAGAAAAGGAACACCCACTCCAGACTCTGGGCAACATATGCTCGCCTGGAATTGATCTTTTCGGGGTGTATTTTCCACCAGGAGCCCAGCAGACTCTCCGCTGCAGAAGCGAGCTCACTGACGGGGCCTCCCTGAGCTCAGCTTGGCCGCTGAGTTGTGACTATGAACATCCAAGCTGTGCTCATACCTACACTCGGGAGCTAAAAATAGAGCAGAACGCAGAGCCGTGGTGTAAAATGCAGGCTTCGCCCTGGGATACGAGATAATGGATGTCCTATTTCTGGCGCTCTCTGTTGCTAAATAAAGCCTCAGGTCCAGGACTGTAGGAAGTTCATTCCTGGGAAGGGAAGCTCATCTGCCAGCACCCGCTCCTAGAAACACGGCTGGTTCGAGAAAGGGGAGCCGTGCTGCTCGCGGCTGACATCATCTCACATCATCTGCCTTTTCTTTTTTTTTTTTTTTTAATTTTTTATTTATTTATGATAGTCACAGAGGGAGAGAGAGAGAGGCAGAGACATAGGCAGAGGGAGAAGCAGGCTCCATGTACCGGGAGCCCGACGTGGGATTCGATCCCGGGTCTCCAGGATCGCGCCCTGGGCCAAAGGCAGGCGCCAAACCGCTGCGCCACCCAGGGATCCCTCATCTGCCTTTTCTTAAAAACATTCCGCACCTTTGTGCATTTGGGGGACCGGGTTCACGGGTGTCAGACTCGTTGCGCTCTTCGGTGACTTTATTATTTTTTTATTCTTTATTTATTTATTTTTTTTGGTGACTTTTTTTTAAAAGGAAGATTTGTCTCGCATTTGGACGGTTCAGAAAAGGACGCGAAGCCCTTTTATGTTCTTGGTTCATAATCCAAAGGATAAAGCAGGAGAAAGCACACTTGGAAGCTCTCCTCACAAAGTTGATGATACAATCAAGAAAAAGATCGTGTCGGGGCGTCTGGGGGGCTCCGTCGGCCACATGCCGGCTCAGCTCACGATCCCGGGGCCCTGGGATCGAGTCCCGCGTCGGGCTCAGCGCTCAGTGTGGAGTCTGCGCCTCCCCCCCGCCTCCCCTGCTCATGTTCTCTCTCTCTTTCTCTCTTTCTCTAACAAATAAAATCTTTAAAAAAAAAAAAAAAAGAAAAAATCGTGGGAGTATCAATATAAGGCCAATGATGGGATTTTCGGTCATGACATGAGGCGAATTCCTCACATTTCTTATAAACAGGCCATGGACAAATGCCAGGCGCAGCCTCCACGTGAAAACGGTAACAAAAAAACCGAATCGTAGGTTTTCATCACCAACAGTGTCCCCACCACGGTCTCACGGTGCCCCAGGTGTTCCGGAGAGCGGCTCCCTGAAGGTGGCCAGCAGGGCCCCCTCTGGGCCAGGTGCTCTGTCGGGCGCCAGCCCCAAGAAGTCGTCCCTCAAGCCCGAGCCTACGGGTTCTCTCTCAGCTCCACCTCGTAATGGGTTCGTGGACCCAGACCCAGAAAACCCCGCGCCTTATGCAAACCCGGGGATCCCTGGCCATAGCGCCTCCATTCCCCGCTGTTCTGCAAACAGGGCCCGGGGCGTGGACAGCCACATTCCCGCCGTCTGCGGGTCACCAGAGGTGCACGGCTGCCTCCGATGCGGGGCTCAGCTCACCGCCCCTGGAGCTGGGCAAGCTTCGGCGCTCTCCCTCCCAAGAGTCGTGTTGGAAAGCGGATCCCCCCTCAGCGAGCGTCCTTCCCAGGGAAACGAGGACAGCGGCGCCACACCACAGGGCTGGTGGCCACCAACGTGCGCACGCGAGCGAACCCCGTGTACGCTGCGGGGCCCTGACAAGGGACTGTCGGGTTTGGGATCATCAGCTGCAAAGCGGCCACTGTGTCCGATTCATGAAGGACACCCAAGGCCGAGTCCTGAGCGTCCCTCAGACCCGATCACAGTAAGCGATCAGGGGAGCAGATACGCCGTGATGACATTCTAAGCATCGATTTTGGGCAGGAAACACAGTTTTCTTCAAACACCTTTGAAGCCCGTGCCAGCGGCTGGTGATGATGCTGGACCAGATATGGATGGTTGCCCTATTTGCTCAGTGCCACACAACAGAACAAAACAGTCACCCACGCCCCCTCCCCACCATGGGCAGCCCGACGGCTCCGCGGTTTAGCGCCTCCTTCAGCCCAGGGTGTGATCCTGAAGTCCCAGGATCGAGTCCCACTTCGGGCTCCCGTGCATGGAGCCTGCTTCTCCCTCTGCCTGTGTCTCTGCCTCTCTCTCTCTAATAAAAAATAAAAATAAAAAGAGTCCCCCTCCCCCCCAAGAGCTAGCAGAGAGTTTTGCAGGTGCTCCCTCCCACTCAGGGCACTCCAGAAGCTCCTGAGCTCCAGGCACACCTGGCCGGTTCGGCGGTAAGGTGGGACTGGCACAGCCACAGCGGAGGAGCCCGTTCCCCCCGCACGCCCAGGCGGGTGCACGCGGTCCCCGTTATCCACTCACCACCTGCATTCGCCGAGCACCGGTTCTATTTTTAAGGCTCTGACGTTTGCTCGCAAAGAAAGGCCAATACGATGGGAGGCGCCTGCTGGCGGGAGGACCTGGGGACCCAGCATTGCGGCACAAGCCCTCCCCGGAGGGCTGAAGCCCCTGCCCCAGGTCCCACCTGCCCGCAGACTCCCAGCCTGGGGCTGTGGGGCACCTGTGACTTAGTGGATTCAGGAATAAGTGGTGGAATTTTTAAGAATTCAGATACTTGGCAACTGACATAGCTGGACTTTCCTGGTCTCGCTGATCAAGCAGGGAATCCCTGACAAGCTTGTCCTTAAGTCCTCAGGTGTGGCCAAGTTCACACAACACGGAAGAGGGGGGACCGTCTCTGACGTCTGACAACAGAGACAGGAATCCCTTATCTCAGGGTGGAAGCACAGAGTCCTGTCCAGCCACGGCCCTAACTTTATGAAAAGGGGTTCACCGTAAAAAAACAAACAAACAAACAAAAAACCCAAACTCCGAATATCTGTAGCATTCATCACGTAAAGAGGAGAAAAAGAATGAAAATACTTGAAGGATCCAGGCCGAGAGTCTGTTGACCAGACCAAGAACTCTCTGAGAAACACTTCTAGGGGGTTTCCCCGCCCGAAACCACCAGGACTTTATTGACACAGAGCAGGGTCCTCTGTACCGTGGAGGCGGGTGTGGACGCTATGGTCACGCACCCGCCTGGACACACGGGTGTCCCCTGCGGGTTCCCCAGGGTTTCCCCGGACCCTGCAGCCGTCCGCTGCCCACCCCGCCCCCGTCGCTGCAGCACCCTGGGGCAACGTCCTCGCGCCCTGGGGCTTCTGACACTGTGCACCCCTGGCCTGTGACCTCTGCGGCCCTCAGGACTCCCCTCCCAAGCCGCCAGGGGAACCTGCCAGAAACCCACCGGGGTGCGGGATGCGAGGAGGCTGCTGAGCCTTCCCCTAACCGGGATACCCCGCTGGGAGGAGAGCTGAGCTGTCTGTTTCCCTCTTCCTTTTAAAGGGGGGATCTCCGAGGACACAACTTTCCCTGCGGGCTGGCTCGGCGCCGCCGCACCTGCCGCACCTGCGCACCTGAGGGCGGAGCCAGGGCCCTCGCTACTCACGTTTCAGGATGTTTCTCCTCTCCAGCTCCTCCACGGCCGGTCTCTGGCTCAGCCGTCTGCGGAAAAACACCAGGATTACGTTCTGCACCATGGTGGCCGCCGCAGACCCCACCTGGGCTGTGCCAGGGGCAGAGGTGGCCGCGCCCGGAGATCCAAGACCGCGTCCCCACAGCCGGAGGAGGGGAGGGGACCAGCCGCCGGCCCCCTGCCGGCCAATCCCGGCTCCGTGGAGCGGTCGCCCTCTGTCACGGAGCTCCTCCGGGGGCGGCCCCCGCGCCTCCTCGGGACGTGCAGCTCATTTCCAGACCTGCCGACCACCGCCACTGGAGGGACGACCCCCGGGACCGAGGAAGCCCCTCCTGCCCGGGCCGAGCATGGGCGGCCGCTGCCGCAGCTGCCTGTCTCCGCGGCACCTGTCCCGCTCCCGTCCCAAGCAACCCTGCCGGCAGCCCTCGCAGGGGGAGTGACGGGAGCGCCGCCTCTCCTCCCCCTGCTCCTCCTCCCCCTCCTCCCCCTCCTCCTCCCCCTCCCCTCTGAGCCGAGCTGCAGCCCAGGGAGGGGCGGCCCCACCCGCCTCCCCAGGGGCCCCAGGTCCCCCCACCGCCCGACCCCTCCCGCACCCCTCCCAGGCTGGCGGGCGGAGGACGAGCCTTTCCAGCGGTTTCGCAGTGAAGGACTCGGAAGATCCAGCCAAAAACAAATACATAAGATAAATAAAAGGCTTGTCAGGGGAGAGAGGCGTAATTAGCCAAAACCAGCGCCAAGCTCCAATTATTTCTGTGACTCCGATAATGCTGTCCCTGGGTCGGAGCCAGGAGCCGTCCCACTTCCGGACGGTTCGCCACCGCGGGAGACAACGGGGCTGAGCGCGGGCACGCCCAGAATCCGGGGCCACAGCCCTGCTCCCCAAAGAGGACGCGGCCTCCAGAAATACTTGTCTCCTCTCCAGGAGCCCTGTCCCGGCACAAAGCCGAGGGCGTCCCCAGGGCCTGGCCGCTCCTCCCTCCGGGGGCACAGCCGGCGGCGGGCTCGATGGGTGCCTCGGGGGGTGGCTGGGGGGCGGCTGGGGGGTGGCTGGCTGCCTGACATCTCGCCCCCATGTCTGGAGGGATCTGCCCCTGCCCCCCCCCCGACGCCGCCGGGCGGGGACCCCAAGGCTCCCGATCTCCCTCTCAGCAGAGGCGGGTGTTTGCCCGGAGCCAGGAGTCCCCGCCCCCGACAAGGCTCTGCACAAGTCCCCCCTGCCCTGCAAGGCTCCGGGCTGAGGAGGGAGGCAGACAAACAGTAATAAAAAAAGAAAAATGAACAAAACCATTCCAGAGAGCGCATCGCCCCGGAGGGCGTAGACAGGGCCTGTGACAAAAGAGCGACCGTGCAGGGGGAGAGGGCTTAGGGGAGACCCGCTCCCTGAGACCCACACGAAGAGGAGCCAGCCAGGGGAAGGCCACACCTCTCTGGCTGCAGGGTCCCCCCCCCTTCACACAGGGGCCTGAACACGGTGGCAGGGTGGGGGCAATCACGGCAGGCTTCGTGGAAGGGGAAACTCTGGGCAGAGCGGTGCAGAGTCCATAGGAGGGGAGGGTACAGCGGCCGGTGACTGGGCCGCCTGCGGGGACTCTGGAGGACGGAGGCCAGAGTTTCTTGGCCCGAGGAGCACCCCAAACCTCCACTGGCACCCCCCGCCCCGCCGCTTCTTGCTGGGGGCCTGTCTTCTCTTCCAAGGTGACGGCCAATCGCAGGCTCGCCCAGGAGCCCGAGACCCGGGAGCCGATGCACTGGCACCTGGCGAGGCCGGCTCGGCACCCAGCAGGCTCTCACAAGACGCCTCGCAAACCCACCCCGGGCGCTGCCAACCGGCCAGGGACGGGGTTCCCAGAGAGGCACGTCGCCCAATTCCCGGGTCCCTAAAGAGCGGGGACAGCTCGCCACCAAGATCTAGGCCATCGGCCCGGGTGGGGTCGGGCTGCGCCCTGCGGGGCTGCAGCTGGCAGGGGCCTCCTCCTGGATGTCACCGGGCGGGGCACCTCCGACAGAGCTGGACGGGGCAGTCCTGGGGGGACGGGGTGGGCTGCTGGGGGGGTGGACAGGGGACGAGTTCTGGGTGGGACATGGGGGGCTATGGGGGGGAAGGGGGGCAGTCCTGGGAGGACGGGGGGGGCTGCGGGGGGGGACGGGGGCAGTCTTGGGGAGGACATGGGGGGGATGGGGGGGACAGGGGGCAGTCCTGGGGGGGACATGGGGGGCTGTGGGGGGTACAGGGGGCAGTCCTGGGGGGATGGGGCAGGCTGCAGGGGGGTGACAGGGCAGACCTGGGGGGGACATGGGGGGCTGCGGGGGGGTACGGGGGGCAGTCCTGGGGGGAACATGGCGGGCTGCAGAGCAGGGGACAGGGGAGCAGTCTTGGGGGGGACGGGGCGGGCTGTGGAGGGCCAGGGACAGGGGGCAGTCCTGTGGGGGACAAGCAGGCTGCAGACGGACAGGGATGGGAGGAGTCCTGGGGGGATGCAGTGGGCTGCGGAGGGGTGAGGACGGGGGCAGTCCTGGGGGGGGACCAAGCAGCTGCAGAGGGGGCAGGGGGGACGCCAAGAGCAGATGCGCTCGGTAGCCCCCTCTGGACCCTGCAGCTGCTGTCCACGCAGGGCAGAACCCACCACAAGGAGGCACTGGGCTTCCCAGGGCCGGGACCCCCTCGGGCAGGAAGGCGGGTGCTGCACACCCACGAGCGGCCAAGGGCCCCGTGAAACGTTCAGCACGCAGGGAGGGTGCTGGCCTGGGGGCAAGAAGGCTGCAGACTCCAAATTCACAGCCAGGAATCGGAGCCCACGCGCCACGACGCTCCGCCCACTTGTGCCTGCACCTCGGCCCCGCTCGCCGCTGGGGGTGAGGCTGCCAGACGCACGAGGGGCGGCAAGCCCACCACTGTCCAAGCAGACGGCAGGACGACAGCTGCGTTCCAGAGCAGGCTGTGAAGGCTCGGAGACGCAGACGGGTCGGGCTCACCGCCCGGGGACCCCAGGGCCGGCACACAGGTGACTACTCGCAGCGAGTCCAGGGGGCACTCGAGCGAGGGAGACGCCTGCCTGTGTGGGGCCCCGGGCACCTGCACCCCGAGCCTCATGGCCAGGGGCCCTCAGAGGCCCTGCAGACACACCCCAGGGTGGCTGGGCTGGGAGCCGGGGGCGAGGCCGCGGGGAGGGGTGCGGGCGGGCTCTGGCACCCGAGGGATTCCCCAGCTCCTCCTGGAGGCTCCCCCCCATTCAGAAGCGCACCCCAGAGAGTGACAAGTGACGCGCAGGTGCCGCTGGGGAAGACACGGACTATTTCTGACTCTTCCCACGGAGAAAGCTTCAGTGTGGCAGCTAATTACGGCTCCGTGGGGGCGCGGCGCCCAGAAAAGCCGCGTGGGGGGAGAGAGGCTCGTGCGCGCTCGTCTCCCTGGCCTCGTCCCCGTCTGTGCACGTGGGAGAGGAGGGGACGCCAGCGCCAGCCCAGGGCCGGGAATGTGTCGGACGGGCCCCCGGGGCTGGAACAGGAGCCTCGGTAGGGAGCAGCCAGCCAAGGGCGAGCCGAGGGATGTGGACCTGGGGGGACACGTACGCATGTCGGCGGGGGTGTCCCCACGAGGGGCCTTCTGCCTGCCCCGGGACAGATCTGTGCTGGACACCTGTGCCACACCTGACCCTGTGCTGGGAGCATGGGGAACAAGGGAGGACGCGGGAGATGGAGGGTGGAGTGGGCACGGCGCGTGGCAGTGAGGGGAGGTGCCACGGCAGCCGGCGACCAGGGTGCCCGCGTGGGCCTTGCGAGATAAAGGACGCAGTCGCACCGTCCTTGAGTCTCCGGCTCTGCACGACGGGGTCACGTCTCCATCCCGCCGGCCCCAAGGGCCCGTCGAGGCTGGGGCACCTGCTACTGCCCCCCCCGACCTGGGCCCCCAGCCCCCAGCCCTCACCAGCCCAGAGAACACGGAAGACGAGGGCCCAGCGCACAAACGGAATCAACGCTGCTCACCTGGTGGCTGCTTCCAGCCCCAACCCGAGGGGCTCAGTCTCTAACCTGCTGGCAGCCTCCGCGCCGGCCAGGACCCCCAGGAAGACTCCTCCATCAGACCCACCTCCATTCGTCCCTCCATCAGACACTCAGACCTCCCCCCACCAGGGCCTGCACCAGCGTAGACGCGGGGTGGAGCCTGTGCCCAGCCACCCGCTGCGCCGTCACGCAGCCCCCACCCCATCCCACTGCCCAGGGACCGCGGGCTCGAGAAGCTGACCTGGGCCAGCGGCGCAGGGACCTCCGTGCTCCCCACACCCCCAGCCCCCCGCACCCGGGCAGGGCTGAGCGGCTGGCTCGGAGCAGGGGCCGGGAGCAGGAGAGCTGCTGCATCTGCACGGGGCCTAGAAGAGCCGCAGGAACCTCCGTGGGGCCCCCTCCCCTCCGTGGGCACCTGGGCCTCGCACCAGAAGGCAGAGGCTCCATCCTGAGCGGCCCAGGCCACCTCCGCGTCCACGTGAGGACGGCGCCCTGGAGGCTCACCCTGACCACGATGGACTCACACGGAGAAATACACCTGTGCTGGGCGAGGGCACTGAGGTTTGGGGTGTCGCCACAGCACCGTGTGACCTCGGGAGGTACAGCTCAGGCCACAGCTGGCTGTGACCCTGGCCCTGCTCCCCCAGGGCACCCTACTCCCCAGGGAACCTAGACCCCCAGGGTACCCAGTTTCCCCCACAAGGCCCGCAGCCCCCCCCCAGGGTACCCTGCCCCTCCAGGAAACTGCATCCCCAGGGCACCTGCCTCCCAGGGCCCCCTGGCCCCCCCAGGGCACCCAGCTCCCCCCCAGGAAACTCTGCATCCCCAGGGCACCTGCCTCCCAGGGCCCCCTGGCCCCCATTCCATGGCACCCTGACCCCTCCAGGGCACCAGGCCACACAAGTCAGGCCCTGCCTCCCGCCTCCACCTGCAGCCCGGACCAGCCCAGAGCCTTCGGCCGACCGAGGTGCGTCCGGCGCAGGAAGCATGGAAGTCCAGGAGGATCAAAGGCGTGGGTGCCCCTCTG